CCTTCAGTAGTAACATCTTATATAACTATGGTACATTGTCAAGACCAGGAAACTGATGTTGGCACAATACAATTAACACATACGTAAACCCTACTCGGATTTTGTCAGTTTTTATATGTATTCATTATTAAACATTTTTTTATCTGTAAGAACAAATATATATGTTGTTGTATAACTTATATATGTAATATATATCTGATGTGTATTTGTATCTTTCCATGCCAGTACTTTTAGATCTTGGGGGTGTTCTTGCCTAATAGTACCCCACCCCTTTTTTTTGGCTGTGGGGCACTGGGTTTCTAACAGCTATCTTCAAAGTTTCACTTTAGAAGGTCACTGTGGCATTGCTTCAGAGAAATGACACACACCTTAAAAGTTTGCTTTTGACTCAGGCATCCTGGAGAATTTCTAGTAATTAACACACAATACAAAGAATATTCTACAGTTAAAAATTTCACATTTGAGAAAATTTAGAAATTATACAAAAGTACTAATAAAAAAATTTTTAATTGCCTATAGTATTTCCTCTCAAGGTGAGATGTATATAGTCTTACTATTCCTTTTTTAGTTTTCTTTGAGGAACAAGAGGTATGCATGTTTTTCTGTATATATTTTTAAGAATTTACATACTCATTCCCTACGCTCAGTATAGTTTTATATCCTTATAAAAAATTACTATGTAATGATAAGTTTCTCAGGTCATTCAAATTCTTTGTAAAAAGGCATCCAGAATTATAAAGGTTAAAAAGGACATAGAAGATTAGTTGGTGAAATATCAGCATTTTTAGACAAAGAAACTGGCTCAGAGAGGGCAAGTGTCTTGCCCAAATTCACACAGCAAGGAAAGCTGGATAAATACTTAGTGACGGTGCTCTAAGATCTGGGGTTAACTGTTACTGGAATTCCATTTTGCCAGAGTACCCATGCCTACCAAGAACTCAAGAGACCAAAATATAAGTCAGAAAGCCAGTTTACTAGTTTACGGTGAGAATTCTAGCTATCAAGGAATCCGCATGCTAGTATTTCTCATGGAAA